ATATATATATACATATATATATATATATAAATATATATATATACACACACATACATATATATATATATATATATACATATATATATTGTCCCTGAGACATAGCCATGCAAATGTGCCATTAAACTATCACATACCTCGACCACAGCTGGGTGAGACTTAATCACTGCATCTGTCGAGTTGGTTGATTGTGAGCCTTTTCTGTATTCTGATTGAAGCAGATAACGGAGAAATGATGTCGAATGAGCAGAAAGTAAGTTGATGCCCATACCGTTAGACGCTTACCAGGTACTACTGATAGTATGAGTGTTGCAATGACAAGGGCACGCAATACCACAACCAGCCTCGAGATATACAATAAATGTGCCCTCAATAACTACATACTGATCTGTACATGTTTGGGAACGAGTAGACAAGTATATACTGGCAGAGACACAAGTACTTAGTACGTGATTACGCATAAGGAAACGAAGTGTGAGGCACGTATACGTGTTCAGATCCAGATAAACACACACCTTCGGTTTCGGCGTGGTACTCGACACCAGCAGGTAACAGTAGGCCAGTGTTTGGGTGTACATGGAAGTTGAGCAGCTTGTCGTGTAGCGCTGTGAACAGAGGACTTGCCTTGCGCTTTAGAGACAGGGCTTCTTTATAATACGGCGACTTCTTGGCGTTGTATGTCTGTAAGGGGGAGGGTTGGGGGTTGTGTACGGGGGATGATAAGCATGCGTGCATGCATATGGAGAGAGAGAGGGATACGTAACTCTGTTGTATGGACATGCATGCATTTTCCTATCTATATATGTACATATACATATGTGAATGCATATATACAGATTCATAAGCATATGTACGCAGGCACAAGCATATATACGCAGGCACAAGCACACAGGTGTGTGCTATGCCGTATGAAGCGAATGACGGCCGAAAAACAGTAGTGAGTGAGCGTATACCATGAGATAGACTGTCTGCAATAGCCATTGTATACACGAGGATAGGCAGCGGCTGGTTAGTACATACACATGCACGCATATGGCACTCAGACCCACTTTTGCGTTCGTACGCAATCCCAGTTGTGCGTGTGCGCTGGTGTGCGACATACAACAGTTAATATGTGTGTTCAATATGTACGAGCAGACCACTCAGCTCGCCACATTCG